GTGTTCATCCCCCGAGTCAGCAGCCTGGCAGGTCACAGCAACCCCAGCAAGTTCGGTCAGCAGGAAAAGGTTTTGCATTTGCAGGGAAGCCTTCAATCTCCGGTGTTCTCGGAAAGGAAAGCAATAGTGGGGCCCCATGTTGGCCCCAGCTGCTGTCCACTCAGCTGATGCAGCGCTCCTGCAGGGCTGTGCTCCTTCCAAAGCTGCCCACTGCCTCTCAGTTTTCATAGTGCAGGGCTGGGGGAAAGGAGTTCAAGGAAGGTCAACTGCACAGAGTCTTAGGAGAATAGGAGCACTGTAAAAACCAAAAGTTTTGAAGAGAAGGAGGTATTTTCAAAATGTAGCAGAGATTTTCAACAAAGTTCCCTGAAAATAATCCTAGGTCAAGTTTAGGCTTTTCCAAATTTACATTTTAATCATAAAGCTCCTTTTATGACTACTTAGCCATTTCAGGCGTGTGCAAACGCATAGCGTGTACACTGTGCAACATGTTTCTTCAGAATATTTACAGGCTTGGAAGTAGTGATTTGAACTCTGCCTCTGCAGCATTTGGCAATGACTGCTATGACATTTGCATGATGGGAAGAACTGTTGCCAAGTTGGGTAACTTCTGACAAGTATAAACACAGCTCTGCCTTCTGTAAACTAGATTTCAAACCATATTGCTGTTCTGAGGAAGAGAAAATCCTGACATTAAAGAATTTGCTCTCCCTCTGATCAGCTCATAAATCTCTCTGTTGGTGTGCGCTGAGTGAGTTTGTAAAGAATAAACAGCAAGAGATGGTGGGGTGGGATGGAGCAGGATGAGATGGGACGGGGCAGGGCGGAACAGGAAGGGATGGGGCAGGATGGGATGATGTGGGAAGGGATGAGGATGGGATGGGTGAGGTAGGATGGGATGGGATGGGATGGGATGGGATGGGATGGGATGGGATGGGCAGTCCCAGAGCTTGGTGCTGTATCTTGTTGTCACTTTGTCAAAAACATAACTCAAATATGTTGTTTAGGAGTTGCCATCTCCAAAAGCTTGGTGTTAGCCACTGTGAAAGGAGATCACTGAAATGGGTCCAGCTTTGTTTGCCTGGTTTTCCATGGACTAATGGTTAGATCCAAACTGGAGCTGCAGGGTTACTGATTGATATAGTTGCAGGTGAATTCAGGAGAAGCCAGAAGTTAATTGTACAACAAGTTTTCTTTTTGCTTTCCAAGAATAAACACTTGGGCTAGAATTTGTGCACAGTGATGGGGCACTGCGAGAAGGAAGGCTTTCCTTGTATGACATAAACTGCTCTTCTGTGTCGTTTCCTGTACAATGGCCTTCCTCCAATGCCATACTACACCAGGGATTAAACCCTTGTCTGTAAAACCCAGAGTATTAAATGGGCCATATTCAGCCCTGGAGTATGTGAACTCCCCTTGCACTCCATGAGAAGTGAGCCTGGATTTAGCCCATTTTGTGTTGCAGGTTTCACAGGCAGGGCGTCAGTCAGAGCAGCGCTTTGCCAAGAGTTGCAGTCAGGATTGCTGCAGCACCTCCTGGATCCAGGCAGTCCCGTGGCTGGGCTGTGCAGGCTGCCAGGCTGCAGGCCAAGGCGCTCGAGCCCTGGATGTGCTCCACCACTGGGATTTGGTTGACCAGCTCATCTCAGGTCCTTCTGTCTGGCAAAGTTACACCAGAAATTTCTGAGAAAATACCATGTCTCACGTCTCCGATTGTATGTTTGAGCAAGCTAATACTTCAGTAGCCAATATTATTTCAGGGTTTTATTGTTGCTGTAGTTGTGCGGTGTACAATAGAGCAAATGCCTTTCCAAAGTAGAGCAGTCACTTAATACCTATTTTTACAATAATTGGCATCATATTCATGTTCACAACTCAAATTTGAGCTGCTGCAAAGTACAGTTATACAACAGTCAGGAAGTAAAGGTGCTTCAGGAAAAAACCTTGCCAGTTAGAGCTGAGATAAAAGAGCAGAAGAGTGCTCCTGTCCCCAAAAGGAAAGCTCTTTTCTACAAACCCAGCACGCTCTGTCAGATGGAAGCAGTCCCAATGGGTCCCTCTTCTTCTGGGACGAGCTGCTTGCTCTGCCAGCTGCTTTTTACTGTACCTGAGCTACTCAGATGGTGATTTTGAAGGAATGCACGATCAGCTCCTCATGGAGCTGACTTGAAGAGCTGACTGCAAAGTGTCTCCCACTGCAACAGATACCAGAGGATTAGGAGAGCGTGAGGACTGAACCCTGGTGGTTTGCAGTAAAATTTTCCTTTTTGATCAAGTTTTGTCTTCATTTTTAACAAATACCAGCTGAAGTGCTGAAGCTTTGTTGTAAACACGCAGAGATGTGGTGGAAAACTTTGAAGGCCAGGCTGGACGAAGCTCTGAGCAACCTGATGGAGCTGTGCACATCCCTGCTCATTGCGAGGGAGTTGGACTAGATGACCTGTGAAGATCCTTTCTAACTCTAAGGATTCTATGATTCTATTCCTATCCCTTTCAGAACCAATAAGCCCTCCAAATGATTGCATTAAGATCCAAACTGTGTTTTCCTTACAGGAACCTTATTTGTAGTTTGTCCAGACAGATAGTGAAACTGTAGGAATGACTTTCCTTTGGTCATGTCTACATTTTGCCTTTCAGTGACTTCCTCTAAACAATATACTCTTTTTTTTTTTTCTTTCCCAACTGAAAAACAAACAAACCCTAATTCTTGCTAAAATGTTTGCATACACTCACCAGTCTATGCCATACCACTACTGAGAGCCTCTAGGCTCCTTTTGTTCCTAGCCCTGTTTGTCATTTTCCTTCAGGCCAGATTTTGCTGTACGCAGAGGTGATGACGGCCGCCTGGCTGATGCTGCAGCGCCAGGCTCACCCCCCAGGGCTGCTTTCCCTGCTCACTGAGCAGCACGTAACACAAGCCACGCAACCACTGTGCTTTGCAGCAACATAAGTGGAGCATGAAAGTGGGGCTCGCACGAGGCATTAACCTCATAGGTCCACTTTCTCAGACAGAGCTTTGTCCCATGCTGCAGCCCTGTGGTGGGCGGAGGGCTGGAATGGTTCATCCTTCCAGGAGCACTGCACGTGTTCCAGCAGTCGGCAGGGGACAAAGGAGGGCCGTGATTAAGTGGATCCAGACAGATTCGAACATGAGAGCATGACTGGACAGAGCTGAAGAGTCACACATCCACTGCCCAGTTAATTTCAATTATATCTGTAATTGCATAGGTAATGCATGAGATGAGACCGACAGTGGAATTTGGACTGGAAGTGCCATGTAATGATATGACTGCTGTAACACACCTGACTGTGCCTGTCATAAGAGGCTGAAACACGCTCCCGTCCCTGCTAGCTCATCTGCCCTGGGTGAAGGGAAGTCATGCTCCTGAGAGGATCTGTGGAGAGGAGAGGGATTTTAGCAAATCTGAGAGGAAAGGATCATGTGCACGTCAGCAGGTTATTTTCCCCTTCCACGAGTTGCTGTTCTAAAATGGTGATTTTTTAAGGCAGAAAATGTTACCATATGTGCCTGCAGGGTATTTCTGCTCTGGCAGGGAGCCACGGTAGCGTGGCTTTGGTCATGGACTGGGCTTCCTGTTCCCCATTGTGTCAGTCTGCTTCTCAAGGAAGGCTCCATGTCTGTGTGTCTCTCTGCCGTCAGAACCTGCAGAATGAGGGAGTTCAGCCCAGCTGTACTACTGTGCCTCAGCAAACTGAAAGGTGTCCCCAGGAGAGGTGCTGTGCGGGATTTCAGCTGCAATGTGGGTCAGCCATAAATGCTCCCGCTCTGCGGATCTGCACTGTAAAAGATGAGGTCAGTTCCTATGGAGGTTTGGGACAGGAGTTCTCAGAATGTGAATTTGCTTGCTCTCAGGAAATGTGCTGAAGATACAGGAGTGGGAGTCATTAAGATAATGTGTGATTGCTGTGCTGTGCTGGCTTGACTCATGCCCATCACTTCTGTGGAAAGGGAACAGCAGGGTTTTGTGTGTGCATCTATGGGAAAAGTTCAGCCCAGCTAAGAGACAAGGAAAGTACTTAGTAATGTATCAGTATTTCCCAGGGTTTTCCAAGTTCCCTTCTGAAAGTGTATGCAGCTTTTCTTTTATTTTTGTTTTTCCACTTTTTCAGTGTTTTGCTCCTTCCACATCCCTTTTCTTTTTTTCCCATAAAACAGGAGGGATGTGGTTGTTTTTCACAACTTAACCGTAAGCAGAACATTATTGCCAGTTTCTTGGCTGGTGTGCAATGGAAACCCACTGGTGAAGGTCTGAAACGTTGATTGCTGGTGTTTGGCAGCCCCATGACCAGCACAGAAAGAGCAGCAGGTGCTTAGGAACACCTTCCAGCTCAGCGCCAAGCCTTGGAACTGGTGCATTAGGATAATGGAAGGGTCTAATTGAGATTGTGGGTTTCTTTTTCTGAGCGTGTTTTGATTTCTGTGCCCGTGGGAGACGAGTGTGCAGTGGAGCCCATGCCAGCTGAGGGTTCCCTGGTGTGTGGCCCATGTCTGCCCACGGTGGGGCAGATGGGGGGCCTCAGGACGAGGGCAGGAAGCTGGAGGCATCAGCCCTCATCCAGAGCAGGTCTGTGCTTTCTGAGCTCCTCTTTCAACACCCCCACGAGCAGAATTTTTCTTTGAGGCCAATGTCAAGCCTGCTGTAAACAAGTTACCAAACTTCCAGCTACGTTCCATCTCCTTTCCCCTAGATTGTAATGGTTTTCTATGGCATGCAGAAGCAATACAAAAATCATCTCTTTCTTTTTCTACATCCTTAAACAGCGTTCCTCCGGCCCTGGGTGAGGTGGGACTCAGGGTCTGCTGCTGCCTGGCTGTGTGCAGTGGAACCCAGGCCACGCTGCTGACAACTCTGAAGGGCTTTTTCCCTTTTGGCTGTTTAAAAGAAATGGGCAAGACTGCCCAGCCTCCCCAGAAAGGATCTCTGTGACTAGCAAAGGCACTCATCCATCTGGATCTCACCAAAGATTTACACGCTGAGTGGCTTTAAAATATATTTAAAACGTTTATTGAAAATCCAAGTCAAGTGAATTTAAACAAACTGTTCAAGATAGAAGAAACTGACTTTTGGAGTAACTGTATTGTTTATTCCTTGTATTGAAGTAGCACCTAGAGAACCCTATTGTGCTAGATGTGGTACAGACAACGGAGGTGGTCCCTGCCCAGATGAGCTTACAACCCCCAGCTCAGCACCTGCTGGCGGTTAACCAGCCCTTCCTTCTCCTTACACACTTCTACCCACTCAGCTGCACTCTCCTGGGCAATGAGGTCAAACCTTTGAGCTTGGTTTCCCCATTACCCCAGCAGAGGAAAGATCGAGTAGGTAGGAGGTTTTGGAGAGCTGAATGACTTGCCCATTCTTTGTAATGTGTGCTGTATAGATGTAGGCTGTGGCTAAGCCATGTGGGCTTCCTGAGATCACTGCTGCTCCTGGCAGAGCTGTGGTTTCCTTGTTCCCAGTGTCCTCAGGCAGAGAGGTGTTTGGATAAAAGGAAGCCTTGACAGTGGTTTTATGTTTTATGTTATTTAAAAAAAAATGTTTTTGTTTTGCCTTTTAAGTTCTCATTCAGTGCCTCCCCATGGATGCTGCCATATGGGGCGAAGTGGAAGGGTACAATAAAAAGCCAACCTGACATCACACACTGCCAATCATTGAAGTATCAAAAACAAAGCTTGCAAGAGCACAAACCTGTATAAATGTGGGGAGGAAAAAAAAAAAAAGGACACAGACTGAGCACACTGGGGCATCTTGGCCCTTTGGGCAACTTTCACGTAGGGTGGAAAAAACTCCGCCTGTTTTTTGAGCTTGTCTCCTGGGTCACTGTCCCATCCTTTCTCACCTCCCCTTTCAGTTCTCAGAGATGGTTGGCATTTGTCTCTAATAATTCACAGAGCCTCAGAGAGGTCCAGGGAGGGATGAGCGAGGAACCCTTAACATTGCTTCAAGTTTGACAAAATTATAGAGTCTTATAGGAGCAAAAGAAGCAACAATTTCTCTAGTCCTGTGTATAAAGCCTCGAGCTTGATGTGGCTCTTACAGGCTGGGAAGAAATGGGATTGTGGAATGAAGGAGAAGGGGCTCCGTCTCATCTGAGGGCAGAGCCCAGCTGCCCTAAGCCTCCTCGCAAAGAGCTGCAGAAAGCCGCTGTGCCTCATTCAAAGGGGCATGAAAGGGATGGGCTCCAAGAAGTAAACCCAGAGCAGAACGTCTATTTAAAGATAGCAAACATGCAAGTCTGAAAAAGGGGGAAGAGAGGTCTGGACCTTGACAGAGAAAGAAGTTAAACGTGGTTTCCAGCGCGCGCTAGAACACGGCTCTGATGGGAGCCACAGGGCTCGGGAATGGCGCTAGCAGTGGCAGAGCAGGGCGGAAGGACGGCTCTTCCTGCTGAGCTGCGTGTCACTTGTTACCCCCCCAATAAATAAATAAATAGCCTGAAGCCGTGCGGCCCTGGCGCAGCTCAGCAGGGCTGTCCCCAGACCTGGTCAGGGAGGCATTGTTCGGAATGGGGCTCACAACACCACCACCCCGCGCCAGCTGCCCTGCCAGCAAGCGCCTCCGCCGTCAGGTGGGAGAGCTGGCTTTGTGGTTACTGGTTTTGTCACTAATGTCCTTCTGAGATGCAGAGGGTGGCAGGATGGGATGAGTACTCCCTAGCAAAAGCTCAGTATCCAGAAGCTCTGCTCGGAATTCTTGAGGAAGAAGGGCTTGCTCCAGCAGTACCCCCAGGGCACAGCGTGCGTCTCTGGGGTGGGCGCAAGCTGCCCCAATGTGCTCTGAGGTTACAGCACTCAGCCCCTGCAGCCGGGAGAGAAAATCCTCCTTACCTGCAGCACTGGGTCTGGGTGCAGCCAGCTGAGCACCGCAGCCCAGGAGTCTGCAGGAGTTTGGATGTGGATGGCAGGGACCTGTGCAGGCACGGGCTCAGACAGGCACCATGTGGGTGCAGATCAACATCCAAATTCCCACAGGTTTTTGGCCGCCAGTTGGCTGGGAGCCTTTAGTTCTACCTCAAAAAGAAACAAAACCAAAACAAAACAAAAAAAAAGAAACAATAAAGTAAAAGGTGCATTTAAAATATCATGAAGAGAGAAACTGCCATGAAATAAATAGCAAAAATAACAAGGTGAACATCTGTGTCACAGCAACTCTGAATTCAAGTAGTGTGCACATGCCTACAGCACTTTCTCACGGCCGCCATTGGTTCGGCCTGAGGATCAGCGCTCAGGTGGTGCCCCGGTGTTGGGACAGCCAGCTCCTCCCTGCTGGAATGGATGTGGAGAGATGGGGGGAGGAGGGCGGTACAGTCCATGCAGACAGTCAGAGCCGTGCAGTTCCCACCTGGGGCCAGTGGGACAAGGACACGCCAAGTCCTCTCGCCCTGCTCCCACCCATCGTGCCCGAGAGGCGGCGGCCGTGCCTCAGAGCTGGAAGGGGTATTGCTTCAGGTAGTCCCTCATCCGCCGGGGCAGTGGCAGCCGCTCCACCTCGGTGGTGCAGCGGTTGATGCGCAGCCGGCAGAGGTGCTGCAGGCTGGGGATGCTGTCCCGGCGGCCCAGCGGCCGGAGGAGCTTCAGGTGCACAGCCGCTACCGCCACCTCCTTCTGCACGGGGGGCAGCGGGGCCGGCGGTGGGTACGGCGCCTCACTCTTGCTTTCTGTCGTGCAGGACGTGACGTAGTGCTGGATGAGGCTGACCACGTCCGGGAAGGCCAAGATGCGGGGCTTGGACAAGTAGTTGGAGTCCAGGCGGAACTTGCTGTCAGTGTACTCGATGCGCACGTTGGTGGGACCGCGGTTGGTCTTGACCGAGAGCGTGAACAGGTAGCTGGGGTGCGTGCTGTCCCGCACCAGAAAGGTGCCCTCGGGCATCTTCTGCAGGTGCTGCTTGGCCTCGCTGGCTGTGATGGAGCCCCAGTACCAACCTGGAAAAGCACCCGGAGAGCACTCATTAGGGAAGGAGCGGGCCAGAGGGGCAGCAGTGGGCTGGGGCTGCGACCTGCACGGCCGGAGCCGGGCCGGAGCCGCATGCACACCGCACGGGAACAGCGCACAGCCTGTGCTCCAGGCCGGCTCTTACCGGACTCCCGCAGATAGGAGAAGGTCTTTGCGATGCAGAGGAGGTCCTCCTCGGGGTCCCGCGTCTGCGGTGTGCTGCCGTCTGGCTCCGGTGCCGCGAAGGTGGGCGCAGGCTCCTCTGGGAAGGCTGGAACCGGGAGGGGCTGCATGATGTGCTCCGTCAGATCCTCCGCGATGCCGCGCAGCGACAGCCTTTGGATCTTCTCCTCTGCCAGCAAGGGGTGAGGTCTGAAGCAAAGAGCACAGCGTGTTACCTCTTTCGGCCGTGAAGGGCTGCTCGGTGTGTGCTGCCTTGTGCTACAGTGTGCTGTGTACTACAGGCAGACTGCAATAACATTGCATTTCACACTGAGATCGGCACATGGGAATCATAGAATCACAGCACACTTGGGCTGGAAAGGACCTCCCAGCCACCCCAGCCCTGCCACGGGCTGGCTGCCCCCAGCTCAGGCTGCCCAGGGCCCCTGCATGGACTGAGGCACCTCCAGAGATGGCACCCACAGCTCTGGAAGAAAAGACATGGCTGAAGATGAACCCTAAGGACAGGGGAGACATCAGCCTATTTCACCATGGAAAAGCTGCTCTGTCTGCAATACAGGTTGACACGAAAACACCTTTGGTTTTAGATGTTGGCTTTTAATGGTACTTTCAGAGCTTCATAGCAGCTTTCCAGCTTCATCGTTACAAGCTGGAGCATTTCTGCATCTGTCAATGGCTCTTAGTCATTTACTGTACTATAATTAGAAGCAGAATTGAGAATTGCTTGGGTTGTGTTGTACCTGCTTTCTACTTAAACAACCCTGATCCCAAATGTGCTGCTAGAGCTAAGGGCAAGCAGGTCTGGTGGCAGAGTGATGGGAATCCTTGGTTCAGCCAAACCCCTGCACCACACAGAGCCCGGCACTCAAGGGCACACTGGGGACATTGGTGTGATCACCAGTCCCGGGTGATGACTGCAGGACGCCAAGGGGCTCTGAGCACCGTGCCCAGGGCACAGCTCTGCTCCCCAGTGAAATCCCTGCCCTCAGTCCCATCCCTGGGCTCGCTGCCCCCTCCATGTCACACACTGTGCCCCCACGTGCTTGAGACGTTCAGAACAAAAGGTGAATGGGGCTGTCCCTGCCCTGCAGAACCCACGGGGACCACAGAGGTGGCAGCCCTGCCCCGGCAGCTCTGCAGGGAGGAGCTGAGGCTGTGGTGTTTCCCCTCCTGTCGGCTCCTTCTGTGCCTTAGCTGAACTGTGGCCCTTCAGGGATGGATGTGGACATGCTGCGAGGTGGCTGCTGGGGACAGGAGCGGGAAGCAGAAGGGGTTGGGGAGGAAAGCAGGCTGGGCAGAGCCTGACGGCAATTTCTCCAGGATTTAAGAGTGAGCACCTATCAGTGCCATGAGCCTGCACTTCTAACAGAACAGTGCTGGTGTGGGTAATGGTTGTGTGAAACCAGTGGTAGCAATCCACCTACAAAGGGAGACGACACATGCCCATGTGAGATGTGGCAAACCCCCACCATCCTGTGGCTCTTTAGAAAAGAGCATTCTTCCAGCACCGTGGTGAGCGGGCTATCTGCTGCCTTGCGGGGCATGTGACTCTAGTTTCGTCATTCCTATCTATGGAGGCAGCCCCTACCTCCCCCAGACCCCATGCCACAGGGATGCTTTCTGTACCTCGCAGCGCACTGAACGCTTGCTGTTCCCGGTCTGGCTGTTGGCGTGTGGCTTCCCACAGGCGTCCCCCAAGCTGTGGCTGCAGGGGAAGGGGTGCCACTCCTAAAGCCCCATGTCTGTCCTCGTGCAGTGCTCTCCCAAGCACACGTCTGCCTGCAGTCCCAGGAAGGGACATTCTCTGCTCTCCCTTCCCTACAGACCAGGCACTGCAATGTGCATGGTGCCCGGCCAGGAGCTACCCACATCTCTGCCACCCCACACCTGTGTGTACCACTGCCCCAATTCCAGACCTTCCCACTAATTTCTCCTGAAAGCTTTTCAGGCCTGCCAGTTCTGACCACGAGGAAAACTTTCTTTTGTCCCTAACATGGAACCGTTTTTTTTTTTTTCCTTTTTCTACTGCCATCTCCTTCCCCCTGCCTTGTGCCTTTGGAAGGGAGTCTGGAAGGGAGCTTGGAGCAGCTCACTGGGACCGAAGTGGAGGAGGGCTTTACATCCTCCCGATAAGCTGCTCCATAGGGAAGATGATGGCACAGAGCAGATGTGAGCAGGGAGAGCGGCTCCGACACGGGAGGGACGGCAGAGGGACGGGGCAGAGCCGCCGGCAGCGATGTGCGGAGTGCCGCTGGAGGGTCTGCAGGGAAGGAGCCGCGGGAGCGGGGTGTGCGGGCTCGGCCCTGCGTGGGGACGGGGGAAAATGCTTGGAAATAAGCGCTTGTAGGAAAGAAAGCGGGAAGAGAAATGCGGAGACCAGGGCGGTTGGCGGGCACGGGCGCTGCGCCGGGAGAAAAAACAAATGTAGAAAAGTAGCATATGGGGACCGGAGAGGAGCGGCGACGGAACGTCTCCGTGCGCCGGTGCTGAGCATGTCCCAGCTCCCTGGGAAGGAGAGTTCAGAGAACAGATCCTCCGCTCAAGGCTGCGGTCGGCTCTGCGGCTCTTCCCTACTCGGTGAAACTCGGGAAGACGGTCGGGAAGCGCGGGGACGGACTGCGGGGCCGCCGGGCGGATCAGGGCTGCGGAAGCGCCCACGGGAGGGGGGATCCGGGCGGTACCGGGGCACTGAGCGCTGGGCTGCGCGCGGGGAGCTGCGGTGCGCCAGGGGGGTTCCGGTGCGGGTGCTCCGGGCTGAGCGGTGAACGCGCTTTGCCGGGGCGGTGGGAACCGCAGCGCCGCACTGAGAGAAGAGAGGTGCGAGGGGAGAGCCGGGGAGGCAGCGGGGAGGTGTTGGTAAGCGAGATCTCCGCCGGCCCTCGGAGCAGAGCGCTGGGAAAGCGTGAGCGGGGCACGGGGAGTGGAGAGCGAGCGCTGCCCCGGGACCTCGGCGCTCACCCGTCCCCGCCGGCTGACCGCGCTGCGTGAGGGCGCGTCCCAAACGCGCGGCACAGAAAAGTGGTGGGGAAGGAAGGCGCAGCGGTTCGGCACGGCGATGTTCTCAACGGCGCACAGCGCTCCGGGGCTGCATTGCTCCCGGTGCGGACAGGGTCCCGCCGGTGCCCCACTGCCGCTTTGTACCGATTTGTCCTTCTCCCTTCGCCCCCGACCGCGAAGCAGCGAACCCCTCGCGGTTCTCAGCAGCGGAACGCGCGGAACTCGGGACCGCACTTACCCCGGGACGCAGAGGATCATGTCACTCCCGGGCCAGGGGAATAGCATCAGGGCCTCGGCAGGGGCAGCGCCCGTCCTCCCCGCTGTGCCCGGCCGCGCTGTGCCCCGTCCCGCACTCCGGAGGCGGCGGCGGAGCGGTGCGGCGCGGTCCGATCCTCCCGCGGGGCGCCCTCAAAAAGAAGCGTTCGGGGCGCTCGGCGTCAATAATAAATAGACGTGAAGGAATAAATACGGTCCCCGCGAGCGCTGGGGAGAGACGCGCGTCTCGGCTCGGGCTGCACAAGTACTGGGGCTCGGCGAGAAAAAAAACCCGCTAAGTAATCTTTTGTTTGCCCCTTTTAATCTGTTCCAGGAAGCGAGGGATTCCTGGAATCGCATTGTATTCGCATCACTCTTCCGATAGCAGCCACGCGAGGAGAAAGAAAAAAAAGCGGCAGGTATAAATAGCGGCGCGGCGCCGTGATGTCAGCGCGGGGCCGGGCGGGGCCGCTCGGGGCGTTGGGCGCTCGGCTCGGCTCGGCTCGGCTCGGCTCGGCTCGGCTCGGCTCGGC